TTTTAAAAAAAATTGTTTTTAAATATAAATATATTAGTTTAAATTGAAAATACAAAATAACTGAAAAATGTATTAACAGTTTTGAAGGGCATAACATCAGTTTCAGTTACTGACACTGGTGATGTATCACCACTATGCTAAAAAAAATTGAACATGAATGAAATAACAGTATTCTTGAATAGTACTATAGGTAAATAAACCTGTTTATGACTAACCAAGCACTTAGTCCCTTATAGCTTAACCTGTATGGCAAGGTTCAACTTCAGTTATGTACTATTGAATGAGAGGACCAAGTGAACTTGATTACTGATTAATTTTGCTTTGTTTAAAGTCTAAATTGAAGAGTCAAACAATATTAATAAAACATTATACCTTTAAAAACAAATATTGTGTAGTAGATTTAATTATCAATATGTTATTAGTTCTATGTTTATTTTACCTCTTAAATATTGTTCAGATAAAATTGTGACATAATTTGAGTACAAGGGGTTTTGGACAGGACGGTTTAAACCAGGGTTTAAACAGTGGATTAATCCATTCTGTCCTAAACCTTGCCAACCCTGGTCTAAATTTATTTAAAAAAAATAAATTTAAAAAAAACTGCTGATGTGTAAGATTAACATAAACAGGTCTTTTTAAAACTTATTAAAAAAGAAAAAATATACACGGCTTAACAATCAAAAAGGAAAATAATATGGTGGTAAGTAATATTTAATGCAAATTAATAATTACTGTACCCTAAAGCTAGCAAATAAAATAAGTCACAAAACTTTTTCTATTTGCTAGAATTTTAAAAGTAACTTACTTGATAAAATGTTTTGTAAGAAATGATTATCAAATGTAATCATGTGTCAAAGAATCAATTAAAGTTCTTAATATGATTTATTTTGCATAGTTCACAAAATTATCGCAAACTGAAACTTGTTGAAAACTTTTTTTACATAATAAATTGATAAACAAAAACAAAACAATTTTAAAGAAGTTTGCATTTATAACAAAATGCAACGTAAGTTTAAACCATTTTTACTTAATAATAATGGAAAAAACAATAATATATAAATTGGTTTGAACAAATTCTTCCGCTATTTAGCATCCGACCATGGAGTCTAGAGTATCCGCTTTAGGATCCATGCATCCGACGTCAAATACAAAATATCAACAATATGGGGTGCACCGTAAATGGAAGAAATAAAGAGCAGCACTACATCTTTTCAACTTTTGAGTTTGATGCGTTTCTATAAATGAATTCGAAAAATTTTTTATTTCGACTATTCACGAACGATCACGACCAATGCAAAACTGGGTTGTATTTGGAATAATATGATGCAATGAAAGCTATTGTTGCCATTAGCTTTGGGAAATTTAAAAACTTTATAGCTATCTTTAAGGAAGGTGTGGGGTAAACATATCCGAGGAAGATCCGAAGACATACCTTCACAATTTTGATCCTCTGCAGAGGGAATGAATGGCTCCTCTGCTTTGGTAGCCCGACAACCTGCTCACGAAGTCAAGCACTTTACGGTAGAACAGTTTAACGAGGATCGATACCGCGCACTCTCGGTCCCTACGCAGGCTGATCTAAGTGGTCCGCCACCTGCTTGCTGACCGCAGTCAGTGATGCTTGACTTCGGTGTTCTACTGAGAACCATGTCTTTACGATGAGTCCACTGCGAGACCTATCGTTAAGGTTGTTGTTGCTGATTTACGTCGCACTACAGCTGCACAATGGGCTATTGGCGACGGTCTGGGAAACATCCCTGAGGATGATCCGAAGACATGACATCACAATTTTGATCCTCTGCAGAGGGGATGGCACCCCTGCTTCAGTAGCCCAACGACCTGCTCGCGAAGTCGAGCACTTTACGGTAGCACAGTTTAACGAGGACCAATACCGCACACCCTCGGTCCCTACGCAGACTGATCCAAGTGGGTCACCCACCCGCACACTGACCGCAGTCAGTGATGCTTGACTTCGGTGATCTGATGAGAACCGTGTCTTAACGATCAGTCCACTGCGGGACCTCGTTAAGGTAGAGTTTACAAGCGGTGCATTAATCTCTGCCACATGGCTTTGTAACAAATTGTAACCTAGCTCAATAGGACTGAGGTTATAGCCTAGTCACGCAGGCAGTACTGCAGCTCATAATTAAAATAAGTTACAATTTTAAGACAGTTTAAAGCAAGATTCTTTAGTACAGTTTTCAAGCGATTTGTAATGTTAAAATTTAGGGAATTTAATCGTAAAATTATCAGTGTGCACATTACGAAGAATTAATATACAGGCATAAGCCTTTTCAAATGCTTTTTAATAATTAATTGCAAGTAAAAAAATGTAGAAAAAAATTTATAAAATAATTATTCATAATTGTTATTTTTATAACTTTCTTCATTGTTTCTAAAGAGCTGGATTGGCATGTTCTTTTCTTTTTTACAACAGCTTTCTTTATAATATTAGAATTTTCATTTTAATGAAAACCATAAATACCGAATTTCAACCCTGAACCAACATAATTCATTGCAAAAATAAGTTGATTTGATTTCGAGATATTAATTTGACTTTTGTAAACATGAAAACGATAAAAAATTAAAAAGGACACTATGAAATCTTTTATATGCAAAGTTTCATTGTCTTTAAGATTAATTTTCAGTTTAGGTTTTCAACAGATTGTTTAGCATAGGGGTCGCCAAACTTTTTTGATCATCAACCCCTATATAATTTTTCGAAATCTCCATCGACCCCCACAAAAGTAATTTTCTGTTAATTAAAATAAAACTCAATTAGATACTGTGTTTGTACATTTATTTTATGATTTTAAACATTTATTAAAGTAATAGTACATTGTGTAACAATAGTTTCATGAAAAATATATTAATATTGAAATTTAAATACCTTATTATTAAATAATAAGTAGTTATGCATAAGTAGATATAATAAGTAAAGTAACTAAAGATTTACTGCTTCTTCATCAATGAGATGGGTGTGCCTGGTGTTTTTTTTGCAAGGTTCGCTATATTGGGTTCAAAATTGGTCAATTTTAATTTTC